TAGAAATAACATGCTTGATTTTTATATCATGCATTGAGAAATACAGTTCTATTTTTAAATTTCAATATTTTAAAAAGTTTTATGTTTATGTTGCGCGGTGGGCTCACGCTGTAATCTAGCACTCTGGGAGGCGAGGTGGGAGGATCGCTCAAGTTGTCAGGAGTTTCAAGACCAGGCCTGAGCCAAAGTGGGAACCTGTCTCTTACTAAAATAGAAAGAATTAGCTGGACAACTGAAAATATATGAGAAAAAAATTAGCCAGGATGGTAGTGCATGCCTGCTAGTCCAGGATAAACTTGGGAGGCTGAAGCGGAAGGACTGTTGTGAGTCCCAGGGTTTGAGGTTGGTTGTGAGCTAGGCTGACGCCATGGCACTCTAGCCCAGGCAGCAGAGCAAAACTCTGTCTCAAAAAAAAAAAGAAAAAAGAAAAAAAAAAGTTCTGAAATAAAAATTCTTGATAATGATACTTCTGAATATACAAATGAGGGGGAATTAAATCAAGCTATTAATATTTATATTTTAGCCTGGGTGCGGTGGCTTATGCCTGTTATAATCCTGTACTCTGGGAGGCCGAGGCAGGAGGATTGCTTGAGGCTCAGGATTCGAGACTAGCCTGAGCAAGAGTGACCACCCGTTTCTATCAAAAACGAAGGGTAGAAAAAAAAAACCCCATCCGGGTCTTTGTTGGTTGTGCGTCTGTAGTCCCGCTACCTTCTGAGGTGAGGGAGAAGGATCTCTAGAGCTCGGGATTGGGGTTGCAGTGAGCTACAATTTGATGCCACTGCCATTCTCCCACGCGTGAGTCTCACGTGACAGGCGTGAGACTCTGTCTCAACAAAACCAACATGAACGAGCACCCCTCCTCTCAACTCCCAATATAAAAATAAAATATTTAAAAAAAAAAATTAATTATATTTTTCATATTTTTCAAGCCCAATAACATGCTGGTCTTCACCAGACTGTTCCCCTATTCTTAAGAAATTGTTTCTGGCTGTCCCTTCTGCCAGGGAATGTGTTCTATTCTCAGTTGTCTCTGTTTATAATGGTATCTTTGGATCAAAGACTCTCCCATGTCCTGCCTGTGTGTGTTGTATATGGTAACCTTGGTTTGCTTATACTTTTTGTGGCTCAAGTTCTCTCCCATCTTATCATGTAAATCATGATTCTCATCCCCTGTCCCAATTTTCAGCTCATGAGGCACTAGTGGTGCTCTTTTGCACCAAACAGGCATTAGTCAGTGAGCATTTACAGAAGGAATGAATTGTTTGCTTCCCAGATTATTTTCTTTGTGATACAAGGTACCTACCTTCACATTTTTACCAAGTATTTTAATAGAATATGGGACTAAAGAAACAGATGGCCTTGACTTGGTTCTAGGGCAGAAATTTGTTAACTCTTTTTAGCCAAAAGCACTCTTCTTTCTAATCAGATCTCACACAGGAAAGGAGTAACCAAAAGATCATATTAAAAGCTAAATTACTAGGCGGGCGCTGTGGCTCACGCCTGTAAATCCTAGCTCTTGGGAGGGCCGGCGACGGGCGGGATTGCTCAAGGTTCAGGGGGAGTTCAAAACCAGCCTGAGCAAGAGGCGAAGACCCCGTCTCTACTACAAATAGAAAGAAATTAATTGGCCAACTGTATATATATAAAAAATTAGCCGGGCATGGGTGGCGCATGCCTGTAGTCCCAGCTACTCGGGAGGCTGAGGCAGAAGGATCCACTCAAGCCCAGGAGTTTGAGGGTTGCTGTGAGCCAGGCTGACGCACGGCACTCACTCTAGCTGGACAACAAAGTGAGACTCTGTCTCAAAAAAAAAAAAAAAAAAAAAAAAAAAAAGCTAAATTACTAGTGGTTGAAGGGGTAAGAGGAGAGGGGTACGGTAGCAGAGTGAGTAGGTAGGAGGGAGGCACATCCTCCAAAAGGGATGGATCATTTGAGAGTGGCAGGGGATGAGATATGCTTTACAATGAAATTTTGATGCGTGAGAACTTGAGCCCCACAAAGTTGCAAACCAAGTGTCTCTGGGACGTAGTTATCCTGCCAGGATCTTGGAGCAGTGGAGTCGTTAGTTGATCCAAGGATACTACCTATATAAGTTCTGGCCGGCTGGAGTGGAGTCAAGGAATGGCACCCTGGGGCAGAAGAAGCCAGGAGAACCTTCTTAGAGAATGGACAGTCTGGTGAGACGCATGTTATGGGCTTGGAAAATATGAAAATATAATTTATTTTTTTTAATTATTTTTATTTTTTATTGGAGGTTTGAGAGGGAGGGTAGGGGGAGGAGGTGCTCGACATCCTCAAAGTGGAGCTTTTCCACAACTGTTTGAAGTCATTTATAGTGACATGAACATTGTTGGGGGCTATAAGTTAGCAATGTATCGGGTTGTTGTTAGACAGAGTCTACGGACAGCAGTGTGTCGGCGTTAGCTCAGCATAGGTGCACGTGTAATGTCTTATGTGGTAACGATGGTAGACATCAGGCTGTGCTCACAACCCCGATATCCGCCTGAGTTAAGTATAAGATCACTTGTGCCTTCCTTTGTCTCCCCTCAAAGGTAGCTGGAGCCTCAGACGTAAACCCAAACAGCGGTAGGTATATCGCATCCCCAGTGTGGGTTTTTTTTTTTTACCTTTCGTTCTTCATATGATATATGAAAACAGGGGTGTGTCAGATCTCTCCCATTTGGCTTTTCGGCGTAGTCGATCGATAGCTCCGGTGAGGGTCAGCATTCCTGCTGCCTCGGGGTGGCAGCCTGGCAGTTGAGAGTACGTAGGATTGTTACGTTGTATAAGACCATCTTGCCAACCACGAGGCTAAAACATTGCCATTGTACATGGGCAATGTAGGCATATCGGTGATTTTTCATCTCTCCCTCTATGGACCCTCGGCTCACAGTCCTGCTTCTCTGGTCCTCTATTTCCGCTGCCGGCGCTGTATCTCTCTTCTTTGGAGCAAATATTCTTCGCGACTCGATCCTCTTTCTAAGTCTGCTCTTACATAGGAAGAGATGAAGGATTTTTATTTCATCAAACTTATATTACTTTATTATCTTTTATTACTTCATTTTTCTTTATGTTGTTTTTTAGAGACAGGTTTGCTCGTGGCTGACGCTGGGGCTAGTTAAAGTATGTCCACGATTAGAGCTCAGCCTAGGCTCACATCAACGCTACGCCTACACTGGGATCAAGCTCTCGCGCGATCCTCCTGCTTCAGACTCGCGCCCCAAGTTTGATCTGGGACAAATCCGAGGAAATGCTATCAGTATGCCTGGTATTATTTATATTAATATTTCTCTAGTTGTCAGCTTATTCTCTTCTCTATTTTTGTTAGAGACAGGGTCTCAACTCTTGCTCAGGGCTGGTCTTGAACTTCCTGGACCTTGAGCGATCTCACCTCCCTCCCGCAGTGCTAAGGATTACAGGCGTGAGCCACCGCGCTGGCTTAAACTTTTTAATATTGAAATTTTTAATTTATGCTGTACTCTTCCTCATGATATAAATCAACAATGTTATTTTCCCTCACCCTTACGGAGAGAAACAGGTGAATGGCACCAGCTCTGAATCCAGCCCTCCTAGGTTTGCACGCCAGTTCCACCTCCTACCGCCTGCGTGACCTTGGGCAAGTTCCCTACTTCTCTGTACTCTGCTTTCCAAATTCCTAAAAGGGGACTGAAAATGTTGCCAGATGATGGGTCTGTGGGAGAGGACAAAATGAGCTAAACCCCGGAAATATGCACGGACACCTAGTACACAACAGGCAAAGTGCAATGTCACGGTACCCCTTCTCAACCCCACCCGATTCGCCAGTCTGAATTGAGGCCTTTGAGTTTCAAGAAAGAAAAGCCCTCTTTAATTTCCGTCACCCTGGAGCTGGGAGGGAATCCTGGCAGGGGCGGTTTAACTGTCAAGCTCTCCAATGAGATCCCAAGTTCAGAATCTAAGAATCGTACCTGTTTTCAAGCCCCTTTCATGGGCAGGAGACGCGTAGATTTTTGCGGCAACACAGCTCTGGGGTCTACCTAAAAACACAGACTGACACAAAGCAGAATTTGCTTTTAGTTCAGAAGAATCGTACGGTCACTTGCTGGGTACACATCTCAGGATTCTGTAGGGGAAAACAGGGTAGATTGAATCAGTGGTGGCTCTTGAAATTAAAAGACACGTGTCTAAATGCCAAGACGATTTTGAAATAAGTAGAGGATGCTCTGGTTCTCACAAAGCAGGTACAAAACTGCTGTTTGCGGTCACCACCCAGGCACACTAGACCACAGAGAATGACCCCTGGATCCCCTAAGCCAGGGCATCGGCACCAAGGGGCAGGGGCTCCCAAGGTGGGCAGCAGACTCTGCTTCCACGTCTCCCGCGAGTAGGAGTACTCTCTTCCTTCCATTTGTGCCACCCAGCTGATTTGGATGCTGGTCCTGCCTCAGGGCCTCAGCGACTGGACTGCATTCTCTGGTGCACCCTCCCCTGTTCCCCAGCCCCCCAGCACAGAGTTCCCCTTGATGAACTCTTGAGCCACTGCTGGGGATTTCAAGGTAATGATCTCAGATCCGACAGGAAACAAACCACTACTGATAAACAAACCTGAATTCTTGGGTTACTTTCTTTCATACACATATTTATTTGGTATTGACGATGAGGTACCCCATCGGAATTCCTGCGAGGAGGAATATGACTCGACTGTTAAAGAGCAGGGAAACATTTACTTACATTTAGCTTATCATATTCACAATAGTTTACACAAACAGTACAATGGTGAACCACCGAGTTCTCATTCCACATCCCTTTCCCACACTTTGTTCAGCTTCCGGTTCTTGAAACTGGACCTCAGGGTGGCGCGTTGCATTTTGACAGACCTAGCACTGCTTCTCAGAGGCAGTCAGTTAAATGGCACAAAAGCACATGGATAGCAACAAAGCCATTGACACTACACAGACATTTTATCTCTTACTGACAACAAGGTAGGGAGCAAAGATGGAGATCCGGGGTGGGAAAGTGACAACATGCACCATGGAAGCCACATGAGATGAGGTGAGGACCCCTGGTACGCAGTCTCCCTTGCCACAGAATGCCTCACAGCGATCCAAGAATGACAGGCACGAGAGAGTAGGACCTTCCTTCCAACATCATGCTGGGAGGATTCTGGTCATGACACAGGTATCGGCCGTCCTCCAACTAGAGCTCACTGTCTGGTCCCACGCCCGGGAGCTGGCAACACCGCATCTGCGCCTGAATCCCTCCTGATCTGCCTCGCGTGACGAGCAGTGTCTCAGTTTTCCTCTAACCACTGCTTGAGCAGCCTCTGGAACACTCTCTTGCTCTCCTGCTGCCTCTCCAGTTGGCGCTTCTCCTCTCTCTCCTGCTGCTGGAGCGCCCCTCCGGGCAGAAGGCCGGGCTGGCTGGTACCCAGGCTGAGGGTCAGGCCGCTGAGGCCCTGCACTAGCGCCTCCCAGGAGGAAGCAGGAGGGGCCCCGCTTCTCTCCCCAGGGATCCCAGAAAGAGTCGGCCTATGGCTCTGGCAGTATCGACACTCGCATCGGAATCGATTCTGATCCCTGTTCCCTGAGGAAACGATCCTGGGTTCCCTCTCAGCCGGGTAAGGTGCCATGTGGTCACGGTGTCTGCGCCTCAGGTGGCCCAGGAATGCTTTCTTCCTCTCTGGGATCGCCAGCCTTTCCCACCGCCTCTCCTGCAGGCTCTTCTCCTCTCGGTACCGCTGCTGGAGCAGCCCCTCTGGCAGGGGCGCAGGGTGGCTGGAGCCTTGTGTGACCATTTGTGTGTTTTGTGGTTATTGTTGTTCTTTATTCAGCTTCCTGAGGTAAGTAAGTTTTTGATGGGTTTGTCACTCTCGTTGTCTGGTATTGTTCTCATGACACTGTATTTCTGGTATTATGGAGTATGTGTATGTTTATGCTTTTTCTGTCTGGGTTTCTGGACAAGAAGGTGAAGCTGGAAGTTCTCAGATATCCAGAAGGCAGCGAGGAGGGTGTGTGGCCAGACTGAAACAAAAGGTGATAAGGGAAGAAAGGAGAGCCGTCACTATACACCTTACTTAACCTCTCCGTCCCTCCATTTCCTGTGTGTAAAAGGGGGACACTCAGGAGACCCACCTCCTAGGCTTCTGGGCATTGACTGAGATAATACCTGCCTAGAGCACAGAATGTGGCTGGCATATAGCAAAGGTGTTAGAAACAACACCAATCATTGCATCCCTGTCACACGGGATGCAAAAGGGTGCAACGCATTCAGTGATGCCAATTCCTTGCTGACACTTTCCAACCCATTCTATAGAATAATTTTAAGAACAATCAATGTATTGATTGACTAGCACGTGCTCTTCTCACAAGCATTTATTTCCTTTCGTAAAGTAGACTTTTCCTAAATTTTATACCTGGCGGCACATTCTTTTGTATTTTCGCCTTCGTGATCACTGATTTTGCGTCTAGTCAAAAAGGCTGCTCAAGCTATGGAAATCATTTCAAAATTCCCAGCATGTGTACAAAATAGGAGCAGGAGAAAACCAGGAAATTTCCAACAGATACAAAATAGATAACTTCACTTAAACCAAAAGCCTGTTCTTTGAAATGATCAATAAAATTGATCAACCTGTAGCAACAGTGACAGGGTAAAAACAGAGAGAAGCAACAAGGTACCAATAGCAGGAATGAAAGAAGAGATTTCACTATAGACCCAGAGAGCATAAAAGGGACAATGTAGTAATCCTGCAAACAACTCTCTGTGTGAATTCTACAGCTCAGATGAAATGGACCACGTACTCGAAAACCATAAGCTACCAACGTCACGTAAGATGTGGTTCAAACATTGAACTGTGTGCACAGTCCTGTATCTCTTAATGAAGCTGAACTCATAGTTTAAAAACCTTTGCAAAAAGATCCCTAGGCCCAGGCAGTTTCAGTGGCGTATTCTACCAAATGTTAAGTGGAGAAATAACACCAATTCTACACAAGAAAATAAGGCAGAGGGAATACTTCCAACTGATTTTATGAGGCTACCACAGCACTGATACCAAGAAAACTACAGACCAATCAATACTCTTTCTCAATCAGACACAAAATTTTTCAACAACAAACTAGCAAGATAGGAGAAGAAGAATAAACCACAATCGAGGGGGTTCTATACCAAGAACTCAAGGGATGTTCCTTCTATAACTGAAAATCCATCTACATAATCCACAGATTGAGTCATCAGAGGAAGAAGAAAAACAACACGATCACATCAACATGTGCAGAAAAACCATTCGACAAGATTCAAAGTCCACGGATGATATAAAAACTCCAGCACATGAAGACTAGAAGACACTTCCTGAACGCCATAAAGGGCACATACAGAAAAACCTACAACTAACACCCCACTTGATGGTCAAGGCCTGAATGCTTGGGAACGAGGCAAGGATGTCCACTCTCACCATGGCTATTCAACATCATGTTGGAGTCCCCAGACAGGGCAATAATGCCAGAAAACCAAACGGCACATATATCAGAGCACAAGAAATTTTTAAAAATGACCCTTTTGTAGATCACATGATCCTCTACACAGAACACTCCAGTGTATCTTCCCCAAACTCCTGGAAGGAATAATCGAGTTTACAAAGACACAGGGGACAAAGTGGACACACAGAAAACAATCACGTGAGTAAGTGGAAACCTAAATTTAAGAAACAATACTGTTTATAATAGCTACAAATGCACTAGAATAGTTGCGTATGAATCTAAGAAAATATCTACAGGATCTGTATGATGAAAACTATAAAATGCTAATGAAGGAAATCAAAGATGACCTAGTTAAATGGAGAGAAACAATATGTTTGTGGATTGAAAGATTCAACAAAGGAAAAAGTCAATTATGCTCAACTTGCTTTGCACAACCAATGCACTGGCCATTGAAATCCTTGATGGAAATTTATATTATATGCATATCAACAAGCTGATTGTACAATTTATGTGGAAGTTTCAATTTTTCAAAAAGATGTAAAGATTTGGAGAAATTGCATTATCTCATTTTTAGACTCGCTATAAAGCTGCAGTCCTCGGGACTCCTGTGTTAGAAAGGGGTAGACATGCAAATCAATAAAAGAAAATAGTCCATAAATACATCCACACAAATATGGTCAAAGGACTTTAGACAGGGATGTAAAAGGGAATTCAAAGGAGAAAGGATGATCTTTTCAATAAATGGTGTTGCATATCCACATGGAAAAATATGAACCTCAACCTCGACATTTACAGGCAATTAACTAAAAAGGGTTCAGGGATGTACACGTCAAGGCTACAATCATATGACTTTCCTGAAGAAACCACAGGAGAACATCTTTGTGAGTTGATGAAAGGAGAGTCTTCGACATGACACCAAAAGCACGATCCGTGTAAGAGAAAAATGAACAAAGTGGACTGTAGCAAAGTTTAAAACACTTGCTCTATAAAAGACAGTGCGTGAAGAGAATGAAAAGCAAAAGTGTACATTAGGAGAAAATGTTTGTAAATCACAGACCTGATAAAGACCTCATCTGCAGAATAGAGAAAGCAGTTTCAGAATCAACAAACAACCAACATCCTCATTAGAATGGGGGAAAGGCTTGATTGAAGACGAGCCCAGGAAAACAACATCCAACATCATGAACCATTAGGGGAATGTGAATTAAAACCGAGATGAGATACCCCATTGCACCTATTAGAATGGCCCAAGTTTAAAGTACTGGTGGTACCAAGTGCTAGACAACATGGGAGCAACTAGAACACCCACATGTTGCTGGTGGGGAAGCGAGCAGTACAGCCAGTTTGAGAAGCAGTCTGGTGGTTTCTTTTAAGTTCCACAGACATTTACCACAGGACACAACAATCCTACTCCTGGTTCTTTACCCTAGAGCAGGCGTCCTCAAACTACAGCCCTCGGGCCACATGCGGGCCGCCTAGCACATTTATCCGGCCCTCCGGGTGTTTTTGCCACCGCTGCCTGTCCTGCTTAGCAGCCGACTTGTCCCGGGCCCACAGTGCACACTCTCCAACGGTCTGAGGGACAGTGAACTGGCCCCCTGTTTAAAAACTTTGAGGACCCCTGCCCTAGAGAAACGAAAACTTAGATTTGCACAAAAGCCTGCCCATAAATGCTGAAAGCAGCTCTATTCCTAATCGCCCCAAACTAGAGACAACACGAATGTCCTTCAATGGAAGAATGGAGAAAGAAACTTGGTATTGCATACAGTGGAATAATGGTCAGCACCGTAACATAGAACAGACAATCGATAGAGGCATTTGAGATTCATCCGAGATGTTGCATCGTAAAGAAGCCCACCTCACAAGGCTAGAAAGTGTATGGTTTCATTGCTGACACTCTCCACAAGACAAAACTACAGAGAAGGACACAGATCACTTGGTGGCAGGCAGCAGAGGTAAGGAAGGTGTAACTGTGAAGGGGTGGCTCCAGATGAGTGTTGTGGAGTCTGGGGACTGTTCTGGATCTTGACTGCAGTGGTGGTTACAAGAATCTATGTGTGTGTTAAAGCTTCTAAACTATACTCCCAAGAAAAAATGTCAGATCAAAACCCCCAGTGGTCAAGTCTAGAATAAGGGCCTCTCTCTACAGTCATTCTTTCAATAAACACATCTTGGATGAATCTAAAAATAATTTACATTAAATGCTAAATCGAAACATTACCTCACATCCCAGGATCTGTTCTTTTAGCAAACTTGGAAACCCAGAATTCACTAGTTTTCTTCAGAGGCTACTGGTACTGAGAAATTTTTATTACCGAATCGTGTCTACCAGCACACACCAGGGCAGGAAACACAGAACAATATTAGAAATATTTTGAATCGTATGACATGACAGTGCACACTTCCAAACACATCCGTCCCAGAGAGAGAGTTTTTTAACATTTGAGTAACTGAAATCTGTGTTTCCAACTAGTCAGTTCAGTGACATCCTGTGGGCCATCTCTAGCCTGCACAAACACTCACGTGTGGAAAATGATCTTCTTAACACAATTACCTCCAAACCAATTTTCACATGTCCCACAGTCTCTCTCAGGATCGTATTTCTTCATGCAGGCAGCTAATCCTCAGAAAGAAAAACAACAACAACAACAACAAAAATCACCTCACAAACACTTTTGTATGAAGAAATATTGAGACTTTGCAGACATCAATTCACAACCGGCCCGTGTTTTGAACACCCTTTTCTCTCTTTTTCCCTGCTTCGACTCTGTAAAATGAAATATTTTGCTGTCCTATCTCGAGGTGCACCACAAGTTTCTCAAACCACACCCATGAAGCTACTCAGGATCCTTTACAGAGACATTAAGGACAATGAGGCCTGGAGAAGTCCCCTCTGTGGGAACACAGGAGCAGCTGGGGCAGTAATGTCTCTTCCCTTCCTTCATCATCACCCCCTTTCATTCCTTCATCAGTCACTTGTCCCCAAGGAATAACAATCTAACATCGAACCCGCTTAATACATCAAAAATACATCGGCCTCAAATTTCCTGCATCAAACACAGCTTCTGAAGAGAGGGAAAAGATGCTGGGCACGAGTGAACCCAGAAAGAGCAGTCACCAGAGCTTCAGACGGGGAGGGGATGTCCCTTGGTGCAGGGTTTCCCCACTGTGATGGTTAATGTCACATGTCAACTCGGCTAGGTTACGGTGCAGGTCATTTGGTTAAATACCACTCTAGATGTTGCAGGGAAGGTATTTATGGATGTGATTAACACTTATTATAATCTGTAGACTATAAGTAAAGCCCATTACCCTCCATGAC